ACAAGTTTCCTCGCTCGTAGGGTGCTTGGACCTAGGCCGTTGCTGCATGCCTCAAGCCCCGCGAGAGTATCCCATGTGGAGCTTTGCCTCCTTTAAGACTCTCGTGTATCATTTGATTAGTAGGAAGGTACTGCTGTCTTGTCTTGCAGTTGTCCTTCTGTAGGTGAAGAGCTTAACTCTGAAGATTTGTTACTAGTTCCGTCAAGGGTTGCTCCCTTCCGCATTCAGTCAGTCCGTCAACAAATTCCTGTTGCAGACTGATAGAATGACATTGTGGCTGAAGATCCATTTCAAACTGCGCGACTACTCTCACCAAGATTCCTCAGTGATATGCTGGTCGGTCGGCAAACGTTGTCACTGGGTAAGGCACCAGTGAGTGCCCTCACCAGCGGGTATAACTTGTTCGCTTACATGGGACGAACGGGCCATGCCTACCGTAACGCCAACAGCCAATGCCTCTCTGCAGGTCGCAGTGATTTGTCTTCACAGCTCTTAGGTTGTGCGCCTCTGGGCCCGCAGCCTCGTGCCGCAGACGTTGAGTCTCGGAGAGAGAGACTGGCGGTGGTTATCATGAGAGTCTAGTGACTCGAAGCAGAACATTACGGAAACCCAGATGAAAATTGCAAAGCCTCGTCATCAAGACGTACTCAAAGTGTGTAGATCAAGGAGGAGAGGTGGAGTTGGGGCTGGAATCATCGATATACCGCATATAGGTGTACTCTATTAATTTTAACCTGTTATATTTCTAGTTGTGATCCTAGCTTTATTTAAAATGATTAGATTTACATTAATGAATATCGAAAATTATTTACAAGGGAAACCCCTTTCGTATCAGTTGACATCGACATCGCCAAAGGCGTGTCGATGATTTCTAGTCTCTTTGGTCTCCTGATTCCATGGACTGTATACTTTGTTTTTCCATTAGTAGTAACAAATCCTACTAAGAAAAACGAGCTCGACTAACAAGCTAGTGTCTGTTTCGCCCGCAGAGAGTGTGCTCCGCCCTGCTCGTGGCCAGCGACAAGGTGCACACCACGTCGGCCTCCGCGTCACCTGGTTCACCACGCTCGTCGTCCTCGCGGCGGCCGTCAACACCTTCGACATGGTGAGTCCGCGTCACCTGCGCTCGCTCGCTCGCTCTCTCTCTCTCTCTCTCTCTCTCTCTCTCTCTCTCTCTCTCTCTCTCTCTCCTCTCTCTCTCTTCTCTCTCTCTCTCTCTCTCTCTCTCTCTCTCTCTCTCTCCCTCCCTCCCTCCCTCCCTCCCTCCTCCCTCCCTCCCTCCCTCCTCCCTCCCTCCCTCCCTCCCTCCCTTCCCCTCCCTCCTCTCCCTCTCTCTCCCTCTCTCTCCCTCTCTCCTTCCCTTCCTTCCTCTTTTCTCTCTTCCTTTCCCTCCCTCCCTCTTTCTTCCCCCCTTCCCCTTTTCTCTCCCCCTCTCCCTCTTACCTTCGCGACGCCCTCTTCCGCCCTGACCGCGCCCTCCGTTGCAGTACCTGTGCGACAAGAGCCTGCTGCCCGGCGTCGCCTCGGCGGCCGGCAACAGCTCGGTCATGGTTCCGCTGTCGAGCCTCAACGACTCTGCGCTGAGCGACGACTCGGTGCGCATGATGTACGAGGTGCTCCGCGTGGCTTTCGACAACGCCACGAGCCCGGACGTCGGCGAGGATGACCTGATCTGCCCCTACCCGGCCTACTACACCTACTTCACGCTGCTCATTCTGCTCGCGGCGTCGCTCCTGGCGCAGGTAAGGAGAGGGCGCGCTCCGCCTGCCAGCCTTTCTTGCGCAGGATTGCTAGTCTCATGGCCGCGGCTTTCGTTGTGCGGGAGTAGTGACCCGAATTCTCTGCCGCAGGTGAGCTACATGCTGAAGAGCCTGGTGATGGTGATGGTGGTGGCCGTGCAATGCGTGATGAACCTGCTGGTGATGAGGCCGCTGATGGACAACGCCGATGGCTGGACCAGTTCTCAAGACCACAGGTGCGTGTAGCATGCGAAGTGATGGCTGTTTGATTCGAGCATTAAACCTTCAGCAGTTCGTTGTCAGTCCATGTTTGCTGTTGGCAGTGTGATTGTAAGGGTTCATTTGTAGTTATGTAACTCCAGTGAAAAATTTATTTATTTTCCTGAACACAAATTATTGCAACAGCCCAACGAGGAACGTGGGTTGCAAATGATGTTTGTGTTTTACGATAAGACATCCTCAGAATATAAAATTTGAACTGTCAAATCCTTCATCATAAGCAACGTCTGCCGCCCCCCCCCCCATATCCACCTCCAAACAAGGAAGGTGCTTTGATTTCAACGCGAGAGGCTTTCCAGTGACATTTCAAAGAGAACAATCAATGGTCAGACCACCAAAGAGGATTCATCCTTGAGTGCACGCATGTGCCAGAGATATCTGTCATAACGGTCTGCGAAAATATGATTGGGTTTCCTTACACGGTAAGGAAGTAAATTTCCGTTACTCGAAGTATGAACCCGCCTGAGTATGATGCACTGAGATATATATATGTAGTATGAAAAGTATAGCATTGGATGACAGAGAATATTATTTCCTATTAAAATTCTTTTCAGAGTTGTCCGAGAAAGTGTGAGTCTGTCTGTGGAGCTTTGTCTCATCACTCTCCTGCTGATTGTCCTCAACAGACAGGTAATACCGAACTGGCAAAGGCATCTGTTGATTTACCTTTACACTGTTCTCAGGAAATGATGTCATGGGGGAAGCACACGAGAAACAAATCTGTATCAGCACTTAAGTAAACTTCTTTTCTTCGTTTCCCCCTCATCCTCTCTCTCTCTCTCTCTCTCTCTCTCTCTCTCT